CGCATACAAACCTTCGGAATGAAATTGTATCGCAATAATTTATGACCTGATACTTCTGATAAGTACATTTGAGTCGATTGCACTGAACTAAGGAACTAGGGAGGCACAATAAGCCAGAAGGCTGCAGTGCCTGGGGAGCACAAATCCTCCATCGATCACCAAAACAATTGTTTTTGCAGACATCTGAAAACACATCAGCTAACGCGTAAACGGCACACATCCAACATAATTTCATCGTTTATCAAAGACCTAATCCTCCTTGACTTACATAAATACTTAAAAGTTTCTCCATTCCTTTAAACTGAAACACTCGGTCGGACCTGAGAGGAAGATATCTAGAATCTTTCATCAAATCTACAATCTTGTAAAATTTAATTATGACCTAGGAGGCAAATCAGCATCAAATTGTCTCAAAATTAGCCATGGGTCCGGTTTGTCAGATGTACCATCCATACATGAAGGTTTAGAAAAACATTTTCTTTATCGTGCCAACGTTTCGATCTTTATTGAGATCATCTTCAGGGCTCAAAGTGTTTGTCTTCTGTGTAATTGTGCCATTCTTGCGTGTCGTGTTGGAGTGCCACCACACGCAAGAATGGCAAAATTACACGGAAGACAAACTTTGAGCCCTGAAGATGATCTCAATAAAGATCGAAACGTTGGCACGATAAAGAAAATGTTTTTCGGAAACCTACCTCACACCTGACCGCATCTCACGATTTCTGAATAAGTATCGATAACGGTCACTAATCACCACACGTTTCGATCTTTATTCAGATCATCTTCAGGGCCTTGTATTGCATCCATTTCCACAAAAACACAAGCAAAGAGTATCCTGAAGGACATCGACAGCAATGGAAAGAAACTTGTTCTTCTTGAAATGCATGCAATCAAGGCCCTGAAGATGATCTCAACAAAGATCGAAACGTTGGCTCGATAAAGAAAACGTTTTTTCTAAACCTACCTCACACCAGTCCGCATCTCACGATCTCCAACTAAACATCAACTAACGGTCACTAAACACCACACTTTTCTACACAAGAAGAACGAAGAACATGTGATTCTATGAACAGATTTCAACTACATACAGACACCGAACAAAGAGTATTCTGAAGGACATCGCCAGCAATGAAAAGAAACATCGGCTGTCAATCTTTTCGTTGAAATGCATGCAATACAAGGCACCGAAGATGATCTCAACACAGATCGAAACGTTGGCTCGATAAAGAAAACGTTTTTTCTAAACCTACCTCACACCAGTCTGCATCTCACGATCTCCAACTAAACATCAACTAACGGTCACTAAACACCACATTTTTCTACACAAGAAGAACGAAGAACATGTGATTCTATGAACAGATTTGAACTACATGCGGACACTAAGCAAAGAATATTCTGAAACACATCCCCAGCAATGAAACGAAACATAGGCTATCAATCAAAGAACCTTTTTGTTGAAATGCAGGCAATACAAGGCACTGATGATGATCTCAACTAAGATCGAAACGTTGGCACGATAGAAAACGTTTTTCTAAAACCTACTTCACACCTGACCGCATCTCATCTCCAAATAATCATCAACTAACGGTCACCAAACACCACACTTTTCTAACACGAGAAGAACGAAGAACATGGGATTCTATGAACAGATTTCAACTATATACGGACACCAAGCAAAGAGTATTCTGAAGGACATCGCCAGCAATGAAAAGAAACATCGGCTATCAATCAAAGAACCTTTTTGTTGAAATGCAGGCAATACAAGGCACCGAAGATGATCTCAACGAAGATCGAAACGTTGGCACGATAAAGAAAACGTTTTTTCTAAAACCTACTTCACACCAGTCCGCATCTCATCTCCAATTAATCATCGACTAACGGTCACAAAACACACACATAAATCTGATTACAGACAAAATGAGCAAAAGCAAAATCGAAACTACGACACTCGTGTCATAACCAAAAAAATTCGAAATTCTCTAATGCTGACCAAGAAACACATACACAGAGGACATGAAGAAGATCGAAACACAACAGCCTACTGTGATTTATTAGGGAAAGATTTCTGAACCATTGTTAAACTTTAGGTGAATTATTTATTACTTTTAAATTTTTATTAATTATATTTATTACCTAAGAGCTTTTTTCCACGGCCACCTGGTGGTTCGCTCTATCATGCAATAAATCGCACTTCCTATATTACAACTAAAATGCACCAAAAATAGTAAAAATAAAGATTAAATGAAGAAAAAATCCTAAATGTGGGGATTATAGTGAGAGACCTTAATAATCTTTTTCTCTCGATCCTTAACAATATAGATTTAGCTTATCCTTTATCGGTTTAGACGACTTTGACAAGGTAATAACACCTGATGAAACTTTACCTGAAAGGTAGCATATTTATTACCGGATCCAGGGTTTGTAGAAAAAAAAAAACACGAAAACAGATCGCAAATTTACACCCATCACCTCTAGAGTTACAGTTTTCATCGTCGCTATGGCAAAAATAAAACTTTTAGCGCGTAAATATTGTAAAGAAGGCTAAGAACTTGCAGATTCAGTTAAAATTTTTATAACAGATCAATAGTAGATCGTCGAAGGAACAAGTTGTGGATAGTCGCCACTTTAAATAATAAAAAGGGAGAAAAGGTGGTTTCTAATCGTATCGAATCGACTCAAAATGTGTCGACGAAGTCTAAATCAATTCGACAATATTTTTTCCATTTTTTAGCACAAAAAGCAAAGAGAACCTTACGTTTTCATTTGCTCGGAGATAACATATGTTGAAGCCGTTTAGCTTTACTGTCGTGTCCGAGACGTTCTCAATCGTCCAAATAAAATACGGGATGTATGGTCTGCTTGATCTAAGCACCATATGGATGTGGGATAAGTTCAAAGGAAGCCGGATGCGTAAAAGTGCGGTTTTTTATGTTTAAAGCTCGTTGTACTTCTGGGAGTGGAATCAGGGATATAACAGTCTGTTGTTTTACCCTAAGTCCGTCAAGCTTTCCTGTCGCGTCCGAGACGTTCTCTATCATCCAAATAAAATACGGGATTTTGGTATGGTCCGCTTTATCTAAGCACCATATGGATATGGGATAAGTTCAAAGGAAGCCGGACGCGTAAAAAGTGCTGGTTTTTTATGTTTAAACCTCGTCGAACTTCTTGGAATGGAATCCGCGATATGACAGTCTGTTATTTTTACCCGAAGTCCGTTAAGCTGTTCTGTCGCGTCCTAGACGTTCTCAATCCTATCGATAAAGGGGTTCATTTTATATTTTATGTTAGTCCAAACAAAATATGGGATTTTGGTATGGTCCGCTTTATCTAAGCACCATATGGGTGTGGGATAAGTTCAAAGGAAGCCGGATGCGAAAAAGTGCGGTTTTTTATGTTTAAAGCTCGTCGTACTTCTTGGAGTGGAATCAGGGATATGACAGTCTGTTATTTTTACCCGAAGTCCGTCAAGCTTTCCTGTCGCGACCTAGACGCTCTCAATCATATCGATAAGGGGCTCATTTATATTTTATGTCAGGTCAAAAAAAACAAAAAAAAAACAGGATTTTAGTATGGACGACTTTATCTTAGCACCATATGGATGTGGGATAAGTTCAAAGGAAGCCGGATGCGTAAAAGTGAGGTTTTTATGTTTACAGCTCGTCGTACTTCGTGGAGTGGAATCAGGGATATAACAGTCTGTTGTTTTACCCTAAGTCCGTCAAGCTTTCCTGTCGCGTCCGAGACGTTCTCAATCATCCAAATAAAATACGGGATTTTGGTATGGTCCGCTTCATCTAAGCACCATATGGATGTGGGATAAGTTCAAAGGAAGCCGGATGCGTAAAAGTGCTTTTTTTATCTTTAAAGCTCGTCGTACTTCTTGGAGTGGAATCAGGGATATGACAGTCTGTTATTTTTACCCGAAGTCCGTTAAGCTTTCCTGTCGCGACCTAGACGTTCTCAATCCTATCTATAAAGGGGGTTCATTTTATATTTTATGTCAGTCCAAACAAAATATGGGATTTTGCTACGGTCTGCTTTATCTAAGCACCATATGGATGTGGGATAAGTTCAAAGGAAGCCGGATGCGAAAAAGTGCGGTTTTTTATGTTTAAAGCTCGTCGTACTTCTTGGAGTGGAAACAGGGATATAACAGTCTGTAATTTTACCCGAAGTCCAATTTTCGTCCGAAGTCCGTTAAGCTTTTCTGTCGCGTCCGAGACGGTCCCAATCATATCGATAAGGGGCTCATGTTATATTTTGTCAGGTAAAAAAAAAAAAAAAAAATACAGGATTTTAGTATGATTTTAGTATGGACGACTTTATCTTAGCGCCATATGGATAATGGGATAAGTTCAAAGGAAAGTTGTGTTTTTTTATGTTTAAAGCTCGTCGCACTGCTTGGAGTGGAATCCGCGATATGACAGTCTGTTATTTTACCCGAAGTCCAATTTTCGTCCGGGTCGATCGTTTAATGTTGCAGTCCGACTATCCCACACTCTTTCTCGCACTCCCGGGCCATTTGAGGCGTGGGAACCCGAACGACCTTTGCCACTGTACGACCGGCCGGTTGCAACAAGTTGCGCCTCGATTTCCGCGTGGGAAACCGGGGAGGAAATTCGGCCCCGGGGTCGGGTTTTTTTTCCCATCCCGGCTTCTCTTTTGTTTTCCTCCTTTCCACGGGGCGAAGGGGGTTGAAAAGGGGCCGAAACCAGTTCAATGCCCCTTTTTAGTCCCCCAACCCCTCGCAGTTCGCTCGCCCTATTTACCACCGGCGGCTCGTATCGCGTACAACCAACAATTTAAACAAGCTCGATTTTCAAAAAATGAAATGTAAGTATAAAATTAAAAATTTCGATTTGAAACAAAAACCCACCATAAAAGAAAATCGTATTGATTTATTAAAGAATATACTCCACACCAATGTTAGGAAAATTCCAGAATGAAACTTTTCTCTTTTATAAAAAATATTAAACATTAAAAAAAAAAACTTGACATACCTCAGAAGGGGAGATCGTCAGTATCCACATTCACCAAAGTTCACTAGCTAACTGGTGGGCCTTAGCTGTGAGCGGGGCGACGTCACGAGGGTGGGGGGCGGGGGGTGCCGGCGCCCCCTCCATGCAGCTCCAAACTGCGCCTCGCCCTTTCACCAGGCACCCCCCCATTTAAACATTAAAAACCCCCGACGTCGCCCCCCTCCCCTGCATTCCGATTGGTGCAAATCCAACGCTGGACGAGGACGACTTTCCAGCAGGACCGATCCCGAAGACGTCCTCCAAGAACGGGGAAATTAATTGTTTTTTTTTTGACAAAAAAATTGGCCGACATTTTGTGCCAATTTCAACTAGATTATGCGATATGAAATGAAATGAAAATGTACTTTATTCAATGAATTAGTTACAAAAATGTTAAGTTATAAAAATAAATAAAAGCACACTACGGCTATGGTTGACAACCGTCTGCCACAAAAACGGGCAAAAAGTTTTTTTTTTTTACCGTGATATTCAAAAATTATCTCGTTCTAATTTCCTAAGCATCCTATTTGTATTTTTGTACGGAAAATTATTCAGCTCTTTCATTCAAAATGCTATCTATGCACCCGAAAATTACTAAAAAATGTCACGCTTCAATTCGTGCCGACAAACCTAACCTGTATCCTAACCTCTAACAGCCTACAACTTTATAGGACAGCGGATGTATCCATTATGAATGAGAGTATAAGTTCAGGTCAGAAATTAATAAAAGAAATTTATTGGCCTGATTTAATTAGTGCGTATTTAAGAATAAAAATTGGTGTAAACAAAAAACAGCTGTCAAATTCAAGGCTGCCATGTTGGTTTCCTACGCCCTAACGGCTAGAAATGTAACTACATTTTCGACCTAACACTGCTAACATTGGCTCTGGTCTGTTAGATCTAGCAATGTTAACTAGCCGATTCTTACAAATCTACGTCATCATTTTTCTCGATCTAACACGAACTAACAGAGTTAACAGGGTTAACATAAAGAGCGTGAATACCCCTATTTTAACAACTCAAGTAATTTAATGATTGTACTAGTAACAAGTAATTTTTTGTAACTCGAGGCGTCTTTAGCCAAGTTTACTAAGTTGAATCACTGAGAATTGTTTAATGAAGCGATTGTATATTCTCTTGTTAATGAGGGCAGGCCTAAGTGTCTCAATTTGAATTCTGCCAGAATCGGACATTCTGCTAGGAAATGGAAGGTGTCTTCTCTGGCCTTTCCATTGCGTAGGGAACACAGGTTGAGGCGGTTATGTCTTGTTGGATTATAGTTCAGAGGAAGCAACTCAAATCTTTTTTTTTAACGAGTATGCAAACAGGACAGAGGAAATTATGACACTCTCAGGCATATTATGGGTATTTAGGATTTTTGTAAGATGTTATCTCGTGTTACTCGAATAGAGAAGTGTCCAGTAAGATCGTGAACGCCATGTGTTTTGCTTGGCATGTTAAACGTTAATTTTTCCGCAATGCTGCGCGTGGCGATTGGTAGAACCAAAAATAAAGCTATAACAGCAATTGATTGTTTTGTGTTAAATTGTAAGAAGCCAGAAGTTAATAAAAAAGAAAAATTAATCAACCCTTTAATTCAAAATGCAATCTATGATATTGAAAAATACTAACAAAGGACACGCTTCAATTCGTGCTGACATACCTAACCTGTATCCTAACGTCTAACAGCCTACAACTTTATAGGACAGCGGATGTATCTATTATGAATGAGAGTATAAGTTAAAGTCAGAAATTAATAAAAGAAATTTATTGGCCTGATTTAATTAATGCGTATTTAAGAATAAAAATACGTGTAAACAAAAAAACAGCTGTTAAATTCATGGCTGCCATGTTGGTTACCTACGCCCTAACGGATAGAAATGTGACTACATTTTCGACCTAACATCTAACATTGGTTAGATCGAGCAATGTTAACTAGCCGATTCTTACACGTCTACATCATCATTTTTCTCAATCTAACAGGACCTAACAGAGTTAATAGGGTCAACACAAAGATCGTGAATACCCCCATTTTAGAGGTAGAAGATAGCGACTATAAAACTGTTACAATAACTTTTTATGGATGTGTTTGGTGCGCGTCTATCATTCAAATAACATTTTTATTCCATTAGTGTATTTGCGATTTAAATTTTTGGTCGTCTGTTTGATATGTTGCTGTTTTCACGAATAACGCAATTTGTTTGTCAGCGACTGCGTTTTTCTGTACAATTTGTATGATGTTTCTTTGTTTGGTCTTTGGTGAATATTTTATGGTTATCAAAACGTAGACCCACTAAAAATAAAAACAAAATAGAACACAAAGGTAAAAACACACCAATACTCTTTAACGACCCTCTGCCCCATTCAAACGTGGTTTATCTTTCAGTTTAATTCCAAAGTACACAATTCAGTTTTTCGTATTTTTATTCGTTTTTCCTTCAAATGTAGCAAGTTTCGTTGATGTGTGGCACAAAAAGTGAGCGTTTCGTCTGTTGGATGCTGTTTCAACTCTTGCAATAGTACTTCCTGTCATAAGACGAGCTTAATTGTCCGACCGTTGTGTGAGGACGAGAAGTCTTCGCAGTACTTTTTTGAAATTATTTTCAATCAAAATTCCACGGAATATGCAGGGATTCCAATCCTGACAAATAAGACAGTCGGACGCCCCGACGACTCGGCCATCATCCCCAAATCTGGAGAAAGTGGAAAAATGAAAAACAGGGCCAATAAAAGAAGGGTTTGGCCAAATGAGTGCTTGCAAGGAGTGATCATCTGATATTTTATTTTTTATAGCATCTGATGATGTAAACTTACTAAAAGAATTGCAATTTTCAATTTAACTAACGGGGTTGAACAGTACAGCATAAACAGAAGAATACACAAAGAAACTTGAGGAAAATAAAGTCTCCAACCTGCTAATTTTTTGATGTACGATTATTATTTTCCCTATTTCTACAGCGTAAGAGGTGGAAAGGAAATTATAACTGGAAGGATAAAAAAAGTACTATTTTTGGTCTACTTTGTACTTTTTTAGATTACAATGACATAAAATATTTAAATTTTACCTACGATTTTTTATTAAACTTTCTACCGTTGAAAATTATTGTGTAAACTGAAAACTACGCTTGGTTATTTAGTTTATCTCGTGGCTTTTAAGGTGTTGTAGAACGTGTAGGTGGTCTGCATGATCTGAAATAATTAATTAAATGAACTTTGTGTCTCGTTTCAACGAAGATTCACCATACCTCCTTTAAACCTTCCAAGCTGTACTTGAACACTCCGAATCCCTTGGTGTCCATGCTTTTCTTTGTCGCTACCATCATCATCAGCAAATGCTTTCGAACGGGCACTGGTTGCGAGTACCAGTCGATCTCGTAGAAACAATCCCACACCTTTTCCGACTAAGATTCATTTATCATTTTAATAATTGATAATTTTAACAACTTGCCTCGTCAGTGATGTACTGTCCGATGAGAGCGTACATGGTTATGATACCCGCTTCGGGCAGAAGGACCATGACCGAAACATCCACTTTGCTGTTTTCACCCTGGGAAATGTTTAAACGTCATCTCTAACAAAATAGGGGCAGGGATTGTCACTTACCGTCATGTCGTACACAAACGTGCAGATCATTCCGACCGAACCGATGGGCAATATACCACTGGACTTACCCGAATAAATCTGTACGAGATGAAATAACCTTTTGATCTGTAGGTGGTGTTCGGTGCATTTTTTCAACTTAGCAAGAGTTTGTTGTTCCGTTTGTCCGTTCTGAACGAATACGTTTCGTATTGCGATCCTCAGTATCTTCAAATGTCCTCCTAGGTGGATACCGAAGGTTAAGAAGCATAGAACAAATAGGTACGCACATATTCCTGTGTTGGCTGTTATAGTACAATGGTATATAGTAACCGCTATGAACCTGAAAGATCATGTGATGATTTTTTTTTTAATTTAAAAAACCTGGCGATTAAAACACCTTGGCCAAGAGTCGATAACGAAGGGCGTCCATCCTTTGAACGGTGTGTTCCAACTACCCGGCTTTCTTCTGAATATGGTCTGCTTCGTCAAGCTCGACGATACACTTATAGTAAAAGCGATGGTCAGCAGCTTCCTGAGCTTGATGACGATTCGGTTCGTTTCGTCTCTCAACGAGTACTGTTCCTCTGTGAAGTCATCACCGTAATCGTAGACCCCGCTTCTGATCATTCGGTCGATCTCGGCGTAGATATGGCTGTACTTTACCATGAAAAAGATGCACACGATGAGTATGGTGTACACGACCGACCAGTGGACGGCCTCAATAACGTCCATTTTAGATGCTCCATTTGTGTCGCTGTTTCTTATCTGAAGAAGCAACGAATTTGAAACGTTTTCTGATTCGCCCAGCCAGATAAAATACCTTTCCAAGCATTATGCTTATCTGCGATACTTACATAGAGGGGAAAATGAACAAGTCCACTTATTAAAAGTGAGATCGGAATGCAGGTAATGAACCAGTCAGTGATTTTGTTTCCAGGGGCAAATCCGTAGCCGACATGAAGGTTGAAATTTGTCGTGTATTCCGAAGGGTCCGAGTGCGTTTCTGATCCTCCTTTACCCTAAAGAAAACAAAAATCAAAAGGAAAATATACAATGTTAGGACAAACTTAGTACTACCATTGTTTCTCTTAGGAAGGCATGTGGCTTAATGCTCGCAAAATTATACGATTGAAGGTTTAATTCGATCCGAGGATATTTACACTGTCTGGAGTGTATACAAAGACCCGGGGAAATATTTCATGACCAATTAGCCTGATTATGGTTTATGCTCGTAGTCGGTTTGATTGGAGGGTTATGAGAGCAAACAAAAACATCTTCGAGTCGGGGGTCAGATCATTGATTTTTATTACAATTTATTCATTAGGAAATTTGAAGACCCGAGACAGTACTTTATTCAAATAGATTTTTTTGCCCATTGCTCTCATCCATTTCGTTTTTAAAAAATTTTATAAATTCAAATCGTACAAATGAGTTTTCGATCATATAAAAGTCTCGTGACTTGTTTTCACTAACGTATGTACTTATATAAAACATTGTAAAAGTTAAGTAAAATATATTATTTTTGAGTAATGTTTAATGATAATGTAAGTATTTTAAATATTTATTAATATATCCTTTTGAGGTTAATTTATAAAATTTTGTTTCATTAAAACTAAACATTTTGATTGAATATTAAAAATATATTTTTTTGCATTGTATAAATTCACTTTTTTCCACATCCTACATGTATTTGTTAAATTTAAACAATGTTTGTAAATCCCAGGCCCTGAAGATGATCTCAATAAAGCTCGAAACGTTGGCACGATAAAGAAAATGTTTTTCTGNTGATACGCCGCTGCTCTACCACCTGAGCTATCGTGACCTCGATCCACTCGGACACCAACTTCCCATCTCAACCCCACCTTATGAGTTTTCCCTCCTTTTGCCATTTTTCACGTCACTCACTCACTTTTGACGTCCGAGTGGATCGAGGTCACGATAGCTCAGGTGGTAGAGCAGCGGCGTATCAAGCCGAAGGTCGTGGGTTCGAATCCCTCTCGAGCCATTAACTTTTTTTCATCTCAACTAAAAACCTTAATTTTAATAAGTAAAGTTATTATTATTTATAATTTACTAAATGGTACACTTGATTTGATCGATGGGCTGTGAACATTCGCTGGTTTATGTTTTCGCTTCTCGCCATCTTCAGTAAGTTACGATTTTCAAAAAGCGCGTTTAAAAATCAGACACAAACTAAGGAAGTTTACTAATAAGTTCCTAACTGAAAGTTGAATTCTTCAATTAAAAATTTTCTGTTATTATATTATTTCAGCACGTAAATGACTAAAATTTCCCAGTACTATTCCAATAATTAATAAATTCTTCCCGTTCCAATTTTTCTTTTTGGAATCATCTTTTAAGGTAGGATTTAAAGATTGGGCATTGAGGTCTACCCAATGAGTAATTGGGTTGCAATAAATCACCCCAAATGCTAAAAACTGTGGACATAAAATACCTCCTATTTTTATTATTCGTCTAATCATGCCCGCCGAGTCGAACAATTAACGTTTTATATTTGGCTGCACTTCTAGCATTACATAAATGTATGCGCCCCGAAACATACTTCACATCATATAAAGTCTCAAGGAGCTATAAAGGAGAGGAAGAACACAGGAGAGCATCAGATAAAATGATATGGTATACATATGATTCCAAAACAAATGAAGGAACCGGAGCACAAAATATGAGCAATCATATTCATTAGGGCAGAAAACTTCAGTCTTTCAAGCAGAAGTATATCATCAATGCTTGGGCCCTGGAAAATCTTAAAAGGAGGTTGCACTGGCAAAAAGATCCTCATAAGATCTGATAGCCAAGCAGTGATTAAAGCATTAGCATGTAAAATAATCACGTCAAAATTAGTCACTGAATGCTTCCAAAATCTCCAAATTCTGGGGAGCACAACAACCTGATGATATCTTGGGTGCCAGGGCACAGAAGAAATTTGGGTAATGGGAAAGCAGACAGATTGGGCAGAGGAGGATCTGCAAGCCCATACATAGGCCCCGAACCTTGGGATAACAAAAACAAATATAGAATCCTCCATCGCAGAATGAATCCAAACAAAGCAAAAGGAGAGGTGGATAAACTCTAGCGGTGCGCGGTACTAGACATACTACAGTTATGATGAAACAACCCCACCAAGACTGGCATAATCATTGCTGCAACTGGAAAGGGCTAAACTCAGAGGAGTGATAGGACTACTAACATTTGAGAAAACATCTACACAACATGGGCATATACAACCTGGTGATACCTTGAGTGCCAGGGCACAGAGGAAATTTGGGTAACGAGAAAGCAGACAGACTGGCCAGAGGAGCATCTTCAAGACCATGCTAGACCCGGAACCTATCCTGCGATGGTTCCAAACAAAACAAAAGGAGAAGTGGATAAACTCTAGTGGTGTGCGGTGCTAGACATAGTAAACTTATGATGAAAAACCCTCACCAAGACTGGCAAAATCACTGCTGTAACTGGAGAGGTCCTAAACTCAGAGGAGTGACAGGCCTGCTAACCTGTCACCGCCAACTGAGAAAACATCTACACAACATAGGCATATAAAACGATGGTCCCACTATGCAGATTATGTAATGAGGGGGAGAAACATCCACCTCTATCATTTTCGAATGCAAAGCAACAGCTCAATGGAGATTTAACCAAAACATAGGGAATCAAATTGTGGCCGCGACAGTCAATGACTGATAGTTCTAAGGAGAAGGATTGAGTCTATTGCACTAAACTAAGGAACCAGAAAGGTACAATAAGCCAGAAGGCTACAGTGCCTGGGGAGCACAAACCCCGTTTCCTAGTATCCTTATCGCCATACGTCATGAAATGTCATGCCATAGTGCCATAGTTGTCTTGTAAGTGTGGTCAAAGATGGTGTTCCTTCTGTGGTGAACTGTTGGAATGTAGCTTCTTGTAATGCCCTCACCTGACTTTATCACAAACCTTTCTTTTTTTGTAAGCTTAGCTTTTCTTAAATAACTTAAAAACTATTATGAATGAGAGCATAAGGACAGGTCAGAAATTAAAAAAAGAAATTTATTGGGCTGATTTAATTTGTAGTTTTTATGCACTAAGAGGTACAATAAACAACACGTGTTGGTCGAAAAGATACTCTTTAATAATCTCCTAAAAAGCAATCGAGGAAGGTTTGCTTTTTTAGGCAGTGTTGCCAAAATGGCCGCCACACTACATCCCTTCCCGAAGAAAAGAAACAAAACAAAACACAAAATAAAAAAATATACAAACTTATGAAACGTTAATAATAAAATAAAATTTAATAAGCTACGTACAAAAGGCGCAATGCCATTTTTTACTTTGCATGTATTATAATCGCAACATACATTCTTCTAAGGTTGTCTTTTGTTCATTTCATCTTCTTGCTTGTCTGTTTCGTTGATGTTCTTCTGGTTTTCATTTCTGCTTGTTGTATCCTTGGGACCTGATGCACTTGAGGTCCGCTGTTATCAAGAGGTTGCGTCCACAAAGGCCGATTTAATGCGATCGATAGATATTCTCTTAGAAACTACATTCATCCTGATGTCGAAAAATTTTTGGAATCTGTTTTTGACTTTTTGAACTTAACGTCCGACGTATGGTGGTTGTAAAGGTGGTGGTCTCACGGTGTCGTTTCGGACGAAAACATGGCTGGCAGAGCTGGGCCCCGGGTGCACAAAAGGTTTTTGCTTAGCATGTAGTGATGTTGGAGATGGACGTAGCTTACGCACTATGTCTTGTAGCTTTTGAGCGAAATTATTAGGTGCCTGAGTGTTAGCATCGTGAAAAAATTCTCCTGGAAGCATAAGATTGCACCCATAGACCAATTGTGATGGAGTAGCCTGAATATCTTCTTTAAACACGCATTCCTAGTAACACCCAGGACAAAGCATCGATCCATGATGTCGATGACTGAAGGTGGTTTATCAGTGCTTGCTTTCTTCGGGAAGGGAAATAGTGTGGCGACCATTTTGGCAACACTGCCTAAAATACAGTCGAGGAAGGTTTGCTTTTTTAGGCAGTGTTGCCACAATGGTCGCCACAAATTAATGCGTATTTGAGAATAAAAATACGTGTGAACAAAAAACAGCTGTTAAATTCATGGCTGCCACGTTGGTTACGGCTAGCAATGTGACTACATTTTCGACCTAACATTTAACATTCCCTGGCCTGTTAGATCGAGCAATGTTAACACGTCTACGTCATAATTTTTTCGATCTAACAGGATTTAACAGAGATAACAGGGTTAACACAAAGATCGTGAGTACCCCTTATCGTTCATATATTAAAAATATCATCTATTGTGCCGTAACCCTTCCTAAACTCAGCTTCATATTGAATTGATTTTCTACCCAATGTTGAAACCTATTTTTTTTATTATTATGCCGGTTTTTGAAAAACGTAAAAGTGTAGTTTAACGCTCCAGGATGGCGTGATACGGTTTGGAACGTAACTACCTCAAATAGCTAGATGCTCATCAATGCACATTTTTTTAATGGCTCTTTCTAGCTGAATTCATCAGTGTAAACGATTTTTAATAGGGAGTAAACGTTACCAAGTTATTTTCAAGAAACTTCCTACACTGATTTTAGAATAAACGAAATCTTCTCCACCTAGTGCGTCCAAGAACCAATTTATTTATTATTCATAGTAGAATAATAGCTGATGGTACAGAAAGAAAACTTACTCAACAATTCCCTCAAATTACATCGATTAACAGGACGCTGGATGTAGGTAATTAAAGCGCAATTCATCTTGGTGCGAATTTCGGTTTGGAGAAACTGACAGTTTATAAAACATCAGGTTAAAGGTTGGCAGTGTATTTTTGCTAAAGTAGAAAATTATAAAAAGACGGTTTAAATGAAAAAGTGTTGATGGATAAATACATATACTTAAGTAATTACTTTTTCTTTGAATTTATTCGAATGTCATACATATAGGCTTTGTTTGCCGAAATCTACAATTTGTGTACACTACTCTACTCAAAAATTAGATTTTAAAAATTAACGCATTTATTCCTCATTTCCTCTTATCTCGTGGCGTTCAATGCATTGTAGAAAGTGTAGGTGGTCTGCATGACCTGGAACAATTAATTTCGAGGGAAAAATTTTACGCAAGACATCAATCGAACGTTTTTCACCTCTGTTAGACCTTCCAGGCTGTACTTGAACACTCCGAACCCCTTCGAGTCCAAGCTCTTCTTCGAGGACATCATCATCAGCAGTAGATATTTCTGGACGGACACCGGTTGGGCGTACCAGTCGATATCGTAGAGAAAGGTGCGCAAATTTTCCGACTGAAAAGTTAACTTCCTAATGTTTGTAGGTTTAGAAGCGGTTAATGAAAAAAAAAAAGAGAGACATATAGAGAGAGACAGACAGACAAAGACAGAGAGATGGAGAGGGAGAGATAGAGTGAGAGGGAGAAGGAGAGGGAGGGAGACAGAGTGATGAAGAGGAGGGGGGAGAAGGAGAGGGCGGAGAAGGAATGGGAGGGAGAGGAGAGGGAGGGAGAAGGAGAGGGAGGGAGAAGGAGAGGGAGGGAGACAGAGCGATGAAGATGAGGGGAGGGGGAGAAGGAGAGGGCGGAGAAGGAAAGAGAGTGAGAGGAGAGGGAGGGAGAAGGAGAGGGAGGGAGAAGGAGAGGGAGGGAGAAGGAGAGGGAGGGAGAAGGAGAGGGAGGGAGAAGAAGAGGGAGGGAGACAGAGACAGAGAGATGGAGAGGAGGGAGAGAGAGAGAGAGGGGGAAAGGAGAGGGAGGGAGACATAGACAGAGAGATGAAGTGGTGGGGGTGAGGGAGAAGGAGAGGGCGGAGAAGGAGAGGGAGGGAGAAGGAGAGGGAGGGAGAAGGAGAGGGAGGGAGAAGGAGAGGGATGGAGAAGGAGAGTGTGTGAGAAGGAGAGGGCGGAGAAGGAGAGGGAGGGAGAAGGAGAGGGAGCGAGAAGGAGAGGGAGGGAGAAGGAGAGGGAGGGAGAAGGAGAGGGAGGGAGACAGAGACAGAGAGATGGAGAAGGAGAGACAGAGGCAGAGTCAGATAGAGTGAGAGAGAGAGTGAGTGATGGGGTGGGGGAGGGTGGGAGGGAGAGACTGGATATAAAGGAAGTAAAATGAGATTGTACCATTGCCATCTTTATTTTAATTTAATAGACCTGCCTCGTTTGTGATGTACTGCCCTATCAGGGCATAAGTGGTGATGAGACTTGCTTCGGGAAGGATGACCATGAACGATGCCTCGACGGTATTTTCACCCTAAGATGAAATTTAACAGCCAATTACAATTCCATAAGCTGACTAATTCAAACCACTTACGGTCATATCGTACAAAAACGTGCAGATCATTCCGACTGAGCCGATGGGCAAAACACCGCTTACCGAGCCGGAATAAACCTGCACGAGATTAAAAAACCTGTCAAATTAATAAACAAACATTAATTAAATTATTAAAATGATTTGGTTCAATTGGCCGAGAACCTCGTTATTTCGGCATGGTGTGCTGCGCATTTTTTCAGCTTGGCGAGAATCTGTTCTTCAGATTGATTTTTCTCCGAGAGGAAAATTTCTTGCAAGGCTATCCTCAGACTCTTCAATTGTGCTACTAAGTGAACTCCAAAAGTTAAAAAGCTTAGTACCAGGAGATAACCAGAAGTTGAAGTATTGATTATCATGATTATATGGACTATAAATACAATCAGATATCTGCAAAAACAACAATTTTTTATCAATTTGTTTGATTCCAAAGTTTTTTCAAGAAACCTGGGCCAAGTATTGATAACGAAGGGAGTCCATCCTTTGAAAAGCGTGTTCCAACTGCCGGGCTTCCTTCTGAATATGGTCTGCTTTGTCAAGCTGGTCGATACGGTCGCGATGAAAGCGATCGTCAACAGCTTACCGAGCTTTAACACTAGTTTATTAGCACCTTCGCAGATGGACTGCTGTTCCTCCGTGAAGTCCTCGCCGTAATCGTAGACCCCCGACTTGATAATCCGGTCGATCTCGGAGTAAACCGATCTGTACTTGACCATGAACAATATGCAAACGATGATCATGCAGTACACGACGGACCAGTGAAAGGCTTCGATGATATCCGTCTGGGTTGCACCGTTCGTTTCCCTATTTTTAACCTACAAAAAAAGCTTATTTTCTATCAATTCATTAAGGTTTTTAGTTGAGATAAAAAAAGTCAGTGTCACGAGCGGGATTCGAACAATGGCATGGAATTGAAAAATGGCAAAAAGGAGGGAAAATTCAAAAGGTGGAGTCGATAGCTCAAGTCGTAGAACAGCGGCGATGGTTCGAATCCCGCTCGTGACACTGACTTTTTTATCTCAACTAAAAACCTTAATTAATTGAAAGATATTAATTGGTCAAGCGGACCAAGAAAACTAGTGAACTTATTCTCTATGAAGAATCGTTCAGAAAAGGATAAATGAAAACTGGGATATCGTTCAAGTAAGAAAAAAAACTTTGGTCTCCTCTATTATACACACACCATAACGAATGAATCAATTAAGCAAACGAGCAAATATTAACAGAACACAAGTTTTAAACTATTCACCAAAACCTTTAAATTATCTTGCAAACAGTTTAGAAATTATTACTGTAGTGGTAGAGCAGCGGTGTATTGATCCGAAGGTCGTGAGTTCGAATCCCGCTCGTGACGTTGATTTTTTTTATCTCAACCAACACCTTACATAAAGATTATTTAATTGAAAGAAATTATTTGGTCAATCGTACAACGAAATTTAATGAATTATTAATATATTTCATTTCAAATTTTCAATTCAGCAAAAAAGTACATTTAATCAAACTTGAGTTAACGAAGGAATTTAAACGCTCCCATTGCGAACTAGCTAGCCGTAATCATAAAGTACTTATTGAGATTTTCACAGTAAAAAAAAATTCTAGATATTTTTCTTCATCATGGGAAACTTAGACGAACAAATAAATATCGGCTTTTCCTTAAAGTTTTCTCCGTCTGATATCGGTTTATTTATGATAAATCATTATATATGAAAAAGCATAATTTCCGTATTTTAATGATTTAAAAAACAATGAAATTCCTAGATATTTTTCTTCATCATGGGAAACTTAGACGAACAAATAAATATCGGCTTTTCCTTAAAGTTTTCTCCGTCTGATATCGGTTTATTTATGATAAATCATTATATATGAAAAAGCATAATTTCCGTATTTTAATGATTTAAAAAACAATGAAATTCCTAGATATTTTTCTTCATCATGGGAAACTTAGACGAACAAATAAATATCGGCTTTTCCTTAAAGTTTTCTCTGTCTGATATCGGTTTATTTATGATAAATCAGTATATATGAAAAAGCATAATTTCCATATTTTAATGACTTAAAAAACAATGAAATTCCTAGATATTTTTGTTCATCATGGTTAACTTAGATGAGCAAATACCTATCGATTTTTCCATAAAGTTTTCCCTTGTCTCGAATCGGTTTTTTTATGATAAATCAGCATATATGAAATATCATAATTTTAATAATTTAAAAAACAATGAAATTCCTAGATATTTTTCTTCATCATGGGAACCATAGATGACCACATATGTATCGATTTTTCCGTAAAGTTTTCCCTTGACTCGTATCGGTTGATTTATGATAAATCAGCAAATAGAAAAAAGCATAATTTAATATTTTAATAATTTAAAAAGCAATGAAATTCCTAGATATTCTTCTTCATCATGGGTACCTTAGATGAGCAAATACATATCGAGTTTTCCTTAAAATTTTCCCGTAACTGATGTTGGTTTATTTATGATAAATCAGCAAATATGAAATAGCATAATTTAATTTTTTTACTTTTATTCTTTTTATATGTCAATAAAAGAGCTGAAAAAACAGAAGTCACGTAGAATGAAATGAAACAACCTAACACAAACGATAATAATTTTATGCATAGCAGGTATTAATTAATGACATAAACAATAGTGTGAACTTTAAAATTGGAATGATTTTTTTTTAATTAAACAAATTATATAACAACATTTTAACTCATGCATTATTCATACGGCAAAATTTCATTGCTTGTTCGGCTGTTTTACGCAGTCCGGTTTTTTCCAATACTTACATAGAGAGGAAAATGCACAAGACCAAAAACGAATATCAAGATCGGTATACTGGTTCGGAGCCAATCGGTTATTTTATTTCCAGGCGCAAATCCGTAGAATTTGTATAAATTCAACTGGGTCGAGTATTTCGACGGGTCGTAGTTCGTCCCTAATCCTTCTTTATGCTGAAATTTAAAAAAAAAATGAAAATATGCAACTATTTGACGGAACATGTTGTACCATAGTTCCCTTCGATGGTAATGCACGAATGGCGTGAAAAATTTTCGCATCTTCTATGACACGTAATTTATTTACGGCCTAGTAGGAATATTTTATGACCAATTCGTCCGATTATCGCCTGGCGTTTTTACAAGGTGTTCTGAGATACCAAACAGAAACGTTTCGACTCGATCAAACCGATAATTTTATTACAACTTATTCATTTGGAAATGTTCCCGAAGGCAAAACAATAACAAGAATATTCAACTAACTTCTATTGGGAAAGAGCTTATTTTACCAACATAAACAAAACTCTAATTGTCTTAAAAGTCTGATGTACCATTTTGTACGGCGTAAAATTTATGTATTTGAACATATTTTTCTTTTTTCATATATAATCTCGTAGTAATAAAGCCGGACGCACAATCCACTGAAACGTGAAAGATTAAAATATACGCCGTAGTTACCTACTGAGAAGTGAAAGACTAAAACAGACTCGAAAACGAACCTCCTCAGCCTGAATTTCTGTGAACTATTGATATTCAAATATTGGCGCAAAGCGCAATCTAGAAGTCCTCTCGAAAATTCGTATTTGTGTTGGTCTGATGATGAGCTGAAAGCACTGGCCAGGCGAATCCGCTTCCATATACGGACGCTGTTTTGCCCTGGACGCAGGTAGAAATGTAAAATTTCTTCGAGGGGACGCCAAACCCACTGAGAAGTGAAAGACTCGAAAGTATAAGAAAACGACGGTGGCGTTCAGCCTGAATTTGTGTGAACTATTGATATTCAAATATTGGCGCAAAGTGCAATCTAGACGTCCACTNAATCGGACCATGGACAATATGAACTTTTTTGTTCATTTTAGGGTGAAGAATCTACTGGAGAAGTTTGTAGCACGAGTAGCAATTCACCCTGTATATATTTAAAGGGTTAACAAAAAACTATGAACATCAATCCACAATGTTGCTCATTGGTTGCAATGAACATGCTATGTTCAATCTTGTGTTATAAAATGATCTGAATATACAAAAATGTACATAGACTCCTTCTCCTATCTACATAAATCTGCATGTACAAATAATAAATTAATAAACGAAGAAGACTTTTCTTTCGACAAAAATTGTGTTGTTCCTATTATTTTCATCCACAAGTTAATGCTCAGCAAAACATCATGAACCCAGTTCCGTGGTTGAAATTTAAGACATCATCTCCATATTATGTCTCGACCAGAATTTTACATTTATAGTAATATTAATTTATTAACGTTTTTTGTCACCATTCGAATAAAATAAATTTACAATAAAATATCATATAAGCACTCTACGGCGTGTAAAACAAGCTTTACCGGAGGCCAATGAATATATCAACAAAACAATAGTAAAAAAAGAAAATTAAATTCAAGAGCATAAAAGTAAAGGTAAATAATTTATGTTTAAGTTCGTCAACAAACTCCTACTTCTATTGCCATTCATGTTTACAATATTTTATAAGTGGGATGGGATCAGAGTTTGGCCGGATGATTAATTTGCGTCTAGATAGAAAACTGCGTCTTAGGTGGCGCAGGCGAGTTTCTTTTAATATGGACCATCCCAAGAGGAAATCTTTTCGGCCTTTTCATCCATTCGGTGTTCGCAGCTCTTTTAAAACAAACGGCCAAATTCAGATACACGTATGAACAAGGTACTGCTGAAAACAAGTGAATGCCGAAACAGTCTATACATATGCTTGATTTTAACGAGAAGTGTGTCAAGTTTAGTATTCCATTCAGGGATATTATTGGTGCTTAGGTTATGTGGGGTTGAACGGATGGGTTCTTTTATTACATATCTCAAGGAGTAAGCATAAGGTTACATCTAAAAACCTCTATACGCATAACATCAATAAGATCCTAGATGTCTCTATATATAGGAGTATGCACGATGTTTGTTAGATGTTAACTCGAGCAGAGAAATGTCCAGTAAGATTGTGAACGCCCTCTTCTTTCCTTAGCATGTTAAAAGTTAATTTTGCCGCAATGATGCGTGTGGCGATTGCTAGAACCAAAAATAAAGCTATAACAGTGTTTGATGGCTCGTTGTTCTTTGTTTTGGTTTTCTTTTGTGTTAAATTGTAAGAGCCCAGAACTTAATAAAAAAGGAAAATTAATCAAGTCTTTAATTCAAAATGATCTATGCACTCGAAAAGTACTAATAAATGACACGCCGTGTTAGCCAACATACCTAACCTGTATCCTAACCTCTAACAGCCTACAACTTTATTGGCTGTGGGGTGTATCTACTATGAATGAGATTATAAAGACAGGTCAGAAATTAATAAAAGAAATGTATTGGTCTGATTTAATTAATGCATATTTAAGAATAAAAATACGAGTAAACAAAAAACAGCTGTTAAATTTATGGCTGCCATGTTGGTTACCTACGCCCTAACGGCTAACAGTGTGACTACATTTTCGATCTAACATTGGCCTGGCCTGTTAGGTCGAGCAATGTTAACTGGCCGATTCGTACAAATCTACGTCATCATTTTTCTCGATCTAACACGATCTAACAAAGTTAACAGGGTTAACACAGAGATCGTCAATATCTCTAATATGTAACTAGGAGTTGAAGAGATGAAACCAAAGAGATTCTCTAGAATTTATTACCAACACTTTGGATCAAGGTATAGTCTTGAAGAAGAAAACAAATTTAGATGGTACCTGCACGCTTTGGACCTATTTTAAGATCATCATTCAAGACAACCTTAAATATGTCTACCTACTGATTGAATCTCAAATTTCTTGAAGACTTACTCAGTACATTGCCAAGGACTTACTTCTTCAACACCATTGTTCCAGTGTGTTCGTAAGTCAATAAGTAGTCCATACTTCTAATACTGAATCTAGAATTTCTCCACTACATCCTACTGCTACCCCAAATTTGACAAGAACAAAACAGACCTGGTAAGATCATTAAATATAGAGAAGTTGGTTTTCAGTGGGACATTATTATTAAGCACTTAGCCCAAATTATGATAATACACATCCTACCTGCAAACGAGACCTGATTAAGACCTCAAAGTGTTTTTAATTGATGATGTCAAAAGGGGATCACTTGCAGGAAGTCACCACGGGCAAGTCTGCTCTGTTTCTAAAAATTCTTGGGTGTAAGGAGATTGTCAGCTTATTTCAAGAAAATCGTTTTTAGGAGTGCGTTGTTCCTATTGTTTTTCATCCATTATTGCTGGGCATCATGAACCCAGTTCTGAGTTGAAACGCACAATCTGAGACATCCTCTCAGCGTCTATTTGTCTCACTATTGATATTCTTACCGATCGACTCTAATTTTACGTTTATCCGAATGTACTCCTATTTATACTTCATGTTACAAAACATGACTTATTTTATCCGTATTTGGCCGGTTCTACATTTTCCGAGTGCTCGGAGACGAGGATGATCCGCCGCATCCTTTTAACCGCAACAGGGGCCCGTTTTCCCATCCGAAAATTTCCAGTTTCTTTCTGTATAATCTGAATTTCGGAAAAGTTCAGATCTCGCAGGGTGTTTCAGGGGGTTGGCGAGGGAAATTATTTTTCCACGAGTGCCTCCGGGTCTGCCTTTCAGTAATGGAATGGAATTCAGTCTTGAGATAACGGGCGGGGAGACGGCCATGATGATGATGACGACGTCACCTTGAGTTCCCCCTTTTCCAGGCCCCAAGGCGCGCCGTTCTCTCGCCGACATTTCTCGCATAACTCGGACCCCTCGCGGCTCCCCGTTATCGAAAAATTCCATATTTTCTTTGCCCATGGGCCCAATCAACAGGTGATGGACGGACACAACTCCATCCGGGGGCTTCGCCGTGGAAAATTCGGAGACGCCGTCTAAAAACCGGCGACAATCAGACAAATTTACCCGGACCTGATGATAATTACATGTTAAACCGTTAGGTTCAATAAGAGAAACCATTGATTTCTTTTAACTATTCGATTTTATACTGGTAAACGAAGAATTAAAAGGAAACGAAGGCACGATTTAAGGACTTAACGACTGTCTGGTTTGCAGGTAGACGATGTCACTACCGACTCATTAAACATGGAAAGTTTTGCAAAACCTAAACTATCATCCTTGTACTAGCTTAGGAGAAGATCATAGGTCACGAATCCAGTACAGTGACGATAGCTGACTTTGATGACGAGGTGTTTTACAGTCAGGAGGTTGTTCTTTCAAACTGCGGCCAATTTTACGAGAAGCGTGCTGTAAAACAGAGATATTCTTCCTCCAACTGTTACAAGTGTGATTGCAGAATTTGAGGACATAACGATTACAACTTGTGCTTTATAGGCCTGTTCTGCCAAAGCTGGGGATATGCACCAGGAAATGGCTCTAGTAAGGTCTACGTCATAACCTCGACGTTTTGACAAAGCTCGTTTGAAATTTCTTAGGGGTTTGCTTTCAGGAGCCCTGAGATTCGAACCAGGGACCTAACAGAGACGAGTCGCTGTGTCAACTCCTTAACCGTTGGGGCCAACCCCCTTTTGTTATTCTTCATCCAGTCCATCTTCTTCTCTATCTACTAGCTGAAAATTATGGAAAGAGTAAATGAACCGAACAATATTGTAAATTTTGACGGATAAATAAGCTTGAATAAAAATCCTGTTGATTTCCAATCAAGCTTACAGAACAGAGTTCACACTATCAAATCCTGTCAAGTTTGAGTTATTTATTGTCGTGGGTGTCAGACCATTTTACAATAGATTTTTACTAGTTATTATCGAATAAAAGCCCAAAGGTTATATCGGGAATCGAACCCAGAACCTTAAGTTTTAATGAACGCAGCGGTTCTCAGTTCAGACTACTATGGATTTTTTGTGTTGATCGTTTCTCATCATTTTGGTCGGCCTATTTATCAGAATTTCATGAAACCAACAATCTGAAAAAAGGAGTACCAAAAAAGTAGTTTATTACTTCAACCGTGAAGAATTT